AAAACTCAATTTCGAAAAATGAGTAAGCTGTTGATCAGTTTTATGTTAAAGAGAGTGACCCTTCCCACCCTCTAATTCTCTCACTATCTACCTCTTTCTCTCTCGCTTTCACTCCACGATAATGTGCTGAAGCTTACAAATACAACAAAAGGCGTACGACAACTTTCCGGCTTCATGGTTCAGATCTTCAGATGAATGATAAATTATGTTTTTCCGGTGTGAAAATGGGTTTACGTTCATGAAGATATGCTTATTCTGAGTAGAGAACTTCTCGTCTTTTGTAACCAAATCTTGCAATAAGGTTTGATGACCAAGCTGACCGGAGACAAGTTGGCAACTTGATTACTGCCGTGAACGGATGTTGTATTTATGAGTATTACAGATGTAAGCGAAAAATCAATGAAAATAGCTTTTTGTTCAGAAGAATGAACAAAAAAGTTGAATCTTTGTTGAACTGACAATTGAAGTAGGATACAGAGAGAGAAAGAGAAAGAGAGAAGAGAAAGGATAAGAAAGAGAGAGAGAATGACTGAAAAATGAAGAAGAATAAGTCTGAGACACATCTGGAGCACTTGATTTCATTCAAAAATTCTCTTTTTTTCAGTACGGCTGACGCAAATTCTGATACTGAGATAATCAAACGACTCTTAAATAAAGGATATGATTGGAGAGTTCGACCTCCTGGAATCAATCTTACCATACCAGGTGAGCAATATATTGGCAGCATCTTCCTCATTTGAAACCCGTTCAGGAAGTCATGGACCCGTCGTTGTTAGTGTAAATATGCTGATCAGAAGGTTTGTTTCTTACATATTCTTTATGTGTCTTCGCAAAGGCAAAAATTAGTTCTAAACGTATAAATAGTTTGAGAACTTAAAAGAAGATCACTTTACTTGATGAAACTCGAATCCAAGTTGAAGTGTTTGGGAATCCTTATGCATTTCCTTAGAAAATAATACTTTAACTATTGTTTCGTTCTTCTTCGACATTTCCTTCGAAAAACAAAACAGAATTTCGATTAGATCTCTCAGTCCATAGAAACAATCAGCTGTTTAGAAAATATATTTCTTTGAATTCAAATGATGCATGACGTCCATTTGCCATATGAGACTTTCTCCTCCATGCGATGAATAGAAGGATACAGGGTGTTGCTTTTGAGAATCTCTGAATGAGTGATATAGTAATATCCTTGAGTTAAATAACATAACCCAAGAAAATGACTGAGCATAGTGACCGTCTTGTGTGGGGAATGAAGACAAGCAACATTTGAGGTTCATCTGATGGTTTGTTGTTTTCTCTACCCGTGAAGGCGAACACGTTTTCGAAAGCCTCTCATTTGGAATATCCTAGCTCCTAAGCTGAGATCTCATTAGAACATACAGTATGACATGAAACATAATGTATAGTTTCAAAAAGCAAATGATTATTTGGGCAGATCAGAAAAGAGTAGCAGGAATTCTCTTCTGAATTAGTCAAAAACAACTTTAGAGAGAATAAGTTCAAAACTTTGTTTGTTTTTCTGTGCAAGACGAGAATCAAACATCATAAATTCAAAAACAATATCGACTTTTAATGAGTTTTTTACAGTATTTCCAAGATAGATGATGTTAATATGGAATATTCTGTTCAATTGACTTTCCGTGAAAGTTGGGTTGACGGACGCTTGGCTTACAGTACTCCCAATGATAATAGTCCAGATTTTTTAATTTTGACTGCGGGCCAACAGATTTGGATGCCAGATAGCTTCTTTCAGGTGAGCATTTTGTGTTTTTGCTGATTCGATATGTTGGTTTTAGAATGAAAAACAAGCTCAGAAGCATATGATTGATAAGCCGAACGTTCTGATTCGGATTCATAAGAATGGATTAATCTTGTATTCCGTTCGCATATCCTTGGTTCTCTCATGTCCGATGCATCTTCAGGTTGGTTCGTTGAACGGATAGAAAGAGAGAAAGATTAAAATTTAAAATTTTCGAGTTGAAATATGAGAAATGAGAAGGACAGAATAAGAACAGATTTCCTTATTTGTTCAACAGAATAATTCATTTGACTGAGATATTTGACATTTATCCTTTTATAGTATTATCCGATGGATGTTCAAACATGCTTAATAGATCTGGCTTCTTATGCTTATACAGACAACGACATAGGTAGAGCATCAGATAACCATAACAGTGATTAGACTTATGATTTAAGAATACCGTTGGAAAGAGACAGATCCTGTACAATTGAAAGAAGGTCTCAACTCGTCTTTGCCTAGTTTTCAGCTTAATAAGGTTCATCTTATCATAACCCCCAGACTTTCTAACAAATTCTTTCTTACTTAACCAGGTTGCAACCACTTACTGTACGAGCAAAACAAACACTGGAACATACTCTTGTCTTCGAACTGTGTTAGAACTTAAACGACAATTCAGGTTTAATTGTATAGAATTTGCATCTTAATTGAGCATTTCAGTTATTATTTACTTCAATTATATATTCCCTCGACAATGCTTGTAATCGTTTCTTGGGTCTCCTTCTGGCTCGATCGATCAGCAGTTCCAGCTCGAGTAACATTGGGAGTTACAACACTACTCACAATGACAACTCAAGTAAATAATTATTAATTATTAAGTAACTACATATGAATCATCACAGGCTTCTGGTATAAATGCTAAGCTGCCCCCTGTATCATATACAAAAGCCATTGATGTATGGATAGGAGCTTGTTTAACTTTCATCTTTGGAGCACTACTTGAGTTTGCCTGGGTTACATACATAAGCTCTCGTTCCTTTTATAAAGGTTTCCTATCATTTTGAATATTTTATTGAACTTTCACGATATTTGAGGAGCCTCTGGGAGCAGCAAATCCGAAAACATGAACGCTCTCCTTATCGCAAACAAACAGGTCATTTTATCGACAAATAATGTAAGTTTTTTTTCTCTGTATGAATACGATCAAACTTAAATTCGAAGAGAGGAGAAGCACAGAGAAGGAGAGAGAGAGAGAGAGAGAGAGAGAGTTGGAAGGAAGCGTATGAGAATGATAGAGTGAGAGAGATCTAAAAAAGTAGTTTCCATATGATCTAATGAAAGAGTTTTCCGAAAACTTCTTACAAATCTCATTTGAAGCATATCGACTTGAGAGCTGGCGGAGATGAGACGGAAGTTTGGATCAAACATGAAAATAACTGTAATTACACAGAACCAAGTTCAGAATTACTGGTAATAGGTGGAAAGAGAAGGAATAGGTAAATAGTTAAAAGATTTTCTTTTAAAAAACAATTACTTTCTATTCCAGGCGGACACAATTAAACAGATTTTGGAAAAGTTTGTGGGTTGTCCGTTGGGTAAAACAACAGCTCTCACCATCTGATAGTGCTAAGCGGGCTGACTTGATTTCACGTATGTCATTGTTGACTATCTAGATGAAGTACATTCAACCATTTGCAGGAATTCTATTTCCGTTCCTCTTTGTCTGTTTCAACTTTCTATATTGGAGCACATATTCTCGTTATCAAACATCAAGCACATAGTTGTTGGAAGGTTATGGATAGAGTAACTCATCATCAGCAGCACAAGTCTTTCTTTGATTGAATTGTATAGCAAAGTTATCAGATTCATATCATTCAATTATCATTCTTCATTTATATTGTATTTTTGATATTCTACCCTCTACTCCTCATATCGTGTATCAAGAAAAGAACAAAAAAGTAATTATTTAAAAAACATTTTACTAAGCTTTGTACATCCAAGTAAAGGAGAAAAAAAAACGAAAACAAACAAGAAAACATAAAGAAAATTTGATTAAAATAGGATAAAACAAGAGAGAGAGAGAGTAGAGAGAGAAAGGGAAGAGAGAGAGATTAAGCTGGACATATTCAGGAAGAACTTGATCCGCACAATAATTATTAAAACGAAAAAATAATTATTATGAGGGGACATGCACATGAAAAACTATTTTAGATGATAAATCACAACGAATGGCACAGGTTTCCATAAAAAATATCTTAATATAAGGTATTTGAAGATGAATTATGAAAGATAATTCATAGAGGGAGCAGAGAGAGAGAGAGAGAGAGAGAGAGAGTGGAGGGAGTATAGAGAGAGAGAGAGAGATGATAATGAATGAAACAAGTTTAATAACAAAGAAAGTAATGAATATAGAATCTCTTTTATAAATTAATTATTGATTTTGAGAAGAAGTCAAATGATTTGAATAGAATACATATTGATACCTAAGCGTCTCCTAATATTTCTCAAATTTAATTTTCTTCTTTTTTTTTTGTCTTTTTCAATCTTCTTTTCAATAGGTGATCGAACATTTTTCACAAAAAAATGACGATAAAACTGTGATGATGTGTGTGTGTGTGTTAACACACCCAATTAACATAAAAACGTAACAAAAGAATGCCTAATATGGATTATGAGAGAAGTTTCCCTGAACGTGTTCGAGCATTTAAATGACATGGTAGATTAGGGGAGGAAGGGAGGAACGGGAGTGACGGGAGAACAGAAAAGAACTGTATAAGGGGAGGGACGGGTGATAGGGAAAGATTTGATGATACTGGCTAGGGATGGGCGAGAGAGAGATGTGTTGAGAGACGGACATGGGGCAGGGGAGATAGGGAGGTGAACAATGGGCACTCAATGAGCTTTTTTTCTGATTAAATATTTTGTATTAACTAGCTTCTTTTCTTATTATATTAATAATGACATCTTGTCGGTTATTTTGTATGAAAAACCCTCTTTGGCTTTTGTATTTTAAACGTTTTTATTCAAAATGACTATTTGCTAATGAGCTTCTTTGGTCAGGAATGAGGGATGGACGACGGACGATACACCGAACAGACAAACGGGCTCATAACCGTCAGAACTGCTAAGCAAGATTCACGAACACCCGGATATGGTCAAGAAAACAAGCAAGTTCGTTATATGTGGAGATTATTAAAGTTTGACAAGTTTCTTTATGAGCAAGAGATGCAAATCTGGCGCTTTAATCAGATGATGCTGGAAGTCACAGATAATTACCATAATTGTAATGCATCTGCTGATGAGAAGGAGGCAAGGACTGTGGCTGCATCATTTGCTGAAAATAGAAACTCATTTCATTTTGATTTGAAAAGTTATTATCTACTTCATTCTAGTTATGCTATATCATTATTGCGCATGACCCACGTGGGAGGTTCTCATTTACACGTTTCACGAGGGTTTTCACTTTCAGCTCATTATTTCACTAACAATCACAGAGAACGGTTGCTCACTCCTATTCTCGTCTCCATACTCTCAATCTTTGTTCTCTAACTCTCGCGCTCTTTAATCTTCATATCCTCATCTTAACTTGATCATTCTCATTCTTATATTCCATATGAACTGACCATATGTGGCTGAGGCTGCATTTGACTCTGATGTAAAGACGTTTGTGGCTGTTGTTGCATTTGATTAGAATTTGGGCCATTTTGAACAGGAGGAGCTGCATTAGTAGCTAAAGCTTGGCCATTCTGAGACATAGTGCCATCAGGTTTGGGTCTTGGCTTTCTTCCTCTGGTCGAGTTCATTTTATGGGCTTGTAGCCTGTCCATCATTTCATCTTTACTGATTCCCAATGCTGATGCTCTCATGGATTCAAGCTTTCGATCCCATTCTATAATAAATAAAAATAAAACATTTTAATAAAACAAAAAAAATGATAATATTGAATGAAATGATAATTGAAATGATAATTAACTGAAACACATCATCTCGTTCTCTCTATATCTATATACATGTGTATATGTATATATCCGTTGAAAAACCAAAATTAGCTGGTTAAATAAGGATTGACAACATGAGACAAAGCTTTTCCATCCCCAGACTGTCCTATTTTGTACACATAAAGCATTAATTTGCGTGAATGTTGTGTTAAAAGTTGTTGAAGAGAGAGAGCATTAGCAAAATGAAGATGAAATCACAAACATACAAACAAACAAACAAACAAAAAACCTGTGAATGTTTATTAAACAGAAACGAAAAAAAACTGTATGGTGACAGTCAACAAGGTGAGAAAAATATTAAAATAAGTTGTAAGTTGTGCACAAATAAAATGTTAAATAAGATCTCAAAAAAATGAAAAAAAAATTGAAGAAACATCACTTTTCCAGATTAGAGACTCGTGCATGTTTGGGAGAATGGTGAGAAAGAGGATGATGATGATCATGATGAGGAGGAGGAGGAGGAGGAGGATGAGGAGGCGGTCTACACACTACTGTATACAGTACTCTAGAAATCTTTTTCTCTCTCTTTGTACTAAGCCACTATCACTTTATCTTTTGAACCTCCTTGTCTCTTTCTCTCTCTTACTCACTGTCTTCCTCTCTCTCTCTCTTCAATATCTCTCATTATCTCTTTCTCATTAGCAAATGCTCAAAAATGGAAAAGTTGAACCCTTGAAATCGAAAAAAAAATAAATTTACATACGTCTTTCATATGTATAATAATATTATTACAAAATGAAGATATTATATATCAGATATAACCGAATAAGGGAGGCCTTTTTCGTAAACATTTCGTTTGTTCAACTAGGGATATAGACAATCACTTTTTGGCTTTTAGCATGTAGGTTCATTTCATTTAGACATATTTGGAAAGCTTAATCTTAGTTGAATTTAACTAAAGAGATCGTAATGTAAATTGTTCTTTCTAAATGATTATGATCTATGGGCTAAAATTCAAAACTAATTTGTCTAATTCTTAAATAGATTTTAAAACATAATCTCTAATTTCAAGACACAATATGGGGCGATGAGCAAATATGAGACATCAGCTGACTTTGATTCATTTCAATTCCTGTGCAATGGATATGAAATGATGAAAGGACTAGCATTTGCTGATGATATCAGGCACAAATGAATATTAAAGGTAATGACTATACGTATAGTATAGAATGTATCAGACCGAAATGGACCCAAACAACACAATCATAGAAATAAGCGGGTGTTAAACAACTAAATTGAAGCTGCAACTGGTGAAGCTTGAAACGATACCTGAGACAGATGAGGAAGGTGAACGTTTGAATGAAAGCGTTATCAAGCATTAGTTGGAACTTCAATTCAGAATGTCAGAAAGGAAAGATAGAAAACAAAAAATTAAAATAAAAACAAAGCACTACACAAGCTAATCGCAGTTAAGACATAACTAAATCACTAAAACGGTACAAGCTGGAAAGTGTGTTGGTGGTTGTTGAGTGACGGCGGTGTTGGTGAAGAAATGAAATAATAAAAAAAGGTTTTTAGTTGTATAATAATAGAAATAAAACATATGTTGTGTGATGGATGATGAAGCTGCATTCAGCGTTTTAATCAGTTAGTGACACAGGACACGACGATATGTTTCATGATGAGTTTTGTCTTTGTCATGAGGAGGGAGAATTGTAATGAAAGGGAAATAAAGATATCAGAAGTTCAATTGCGAATCATTGCAGATCTAAATGGACGAAAAATTCGGAATATTAACCTTTCAGATCTTTGCATTCTGGAGCTGGATGGCAAGTATTTAGATGTCTCTTCATATTGCCTTTGTAAATCGTCACAAAGTCACATTGCCCGCAAATGTATGCATCCTGAATATGTCAATGAATAGATTGCTTGTGAGAAAGGTTATAAGCAAGGGGAACTATGTGTCATTCGTGGATAGTAGATCTAGAAAAACTAACCTCAGGTGGCTCACTATCTTTACGAATGCCATTAGGAGGTGATGGGTCTGTGGGAAGTTGAACTGCTGTGTTCTCTTCATTCATTGTCGGTAAAAAAGTCGTTGTTGTGACTCCGTTAACTCCGTTTTGTGGGGGCATCATGTTCATATTTGGTGACACTGAAAACGGATAATCTAAGACTGAGGTTAGTACAATCGTTCTTTATATTCCTGAGCGACCTGAAAAGACTTTGACTCGAATATGCCACTCACTTGGTTCGAATCCGTCTTGCAGTATGGCTGGAGGACCATCATCTGCCCGCTTTTTGCCTCGCTTCCGATCTTTTTCTTTATCTGGACGTGGTCGTCGTGTTCCCGTATTGTTTTTTCCACATTGATTAATGTGTCGTCGAATATTTCCCTGGAAAGATGAGACTTAATGAGATCTTCAATAGATGCTTAATTATTACTTTATAATGACTAATAAACCGATCACAATATGGACAGACGGGACTTAAGCCATCTTGACCATTTGTTAAGGCTCCAGCTTTTAAAGCTGACTCTGTGCCTGGAGCTATGGGATTGGCCCCTGCAGCTACCTGATCAAGGTAATTCCGACCTAAATATCGTAATGAACAGAAAAAGAGTAAACTCAAAATTGAAAGCAATAAGAAGATAAATAAAGTCTATCCGAACCTATGATTTCCCGGCACTTCTCGTTGCGACCGATGTGACCTGTCAAACTGCGTCTAGACGGATAAACGCCTTTACACGCCAGACACATGACTCGCACATCCTCTCCAGAGCCCTGGAGCTTCTGAAATCCGAATGGAAGGCTGTCTTCAGGAAGGGCCTTTCCAGAAGAGGCACGAACCTCTCCGACGTCTGCATTTCCGGAGCCGGCAGATCCATTATTAGGCTGAGCATCATTCATGGGGCTAGTATCACCGCGTGATGAATCACTGCTAACAAGAGGAGAATTGTAGGATGAGAAAAGATTTGGCGACACGGATGGCACACTTCTGAAAGCAGGCAGTAGCCAGAATCAGAAGTATGCACAATCATTTGTTTAATCCTTTCTTAGAGTGAAAACACCAGAAGAACGAAAAAACCTTCAAAATATGTAAAACATACCTGTTGTAGTTATTACAACGTTGATTCATCTTATTTGATGTTGATGGATTTTCATTCCGAACAGGATGAGAAGGGTTCGGCCGAAGAATCTGATTAGACTGTGTCGTAGTTGGTGGAGCTCCGAATGATTGAGCAACCTATACACATTTCATCAGTAAGCTTCTCTACAGTTCAAACTCACTTTATTAAGAGGTAAATTTTGATTGTTATTAGGAAGTGGTTGAGCAAGTTGTTGATATGGTAACATAAATGGATTTTGACTTGGATACAATCTATAAGGCATTGCCTGCGGAGATTCAAACCGTGGCATTCTGAGATATATAACATGTACTTGATAAGCATTATCTGGAACTTACGCATTATCTATGGCAGGATCATATAACCCGGGAACTATTGGAGTTGATGAGTTTTGGTCAAAAAACAATCCAGATCCTACTGAAAATCGAGTTATTATATGCTTTTTCATGGTGCTACGTTTATTGCACGAGAAAGTTTTTTTTTCGCACGTTCAGGCACGCACTTGTTCGGATACGGTGCAGAGGTAAGATGAGTAGTGTAATATACAAAAAAAAAACTTAATGTGGTGGCGTGTCGCAAAAAAAAAAATAAAATTTGAAATTATGAAACGATTTTTCGGAAATTCAGTGAAACTAACCGTTCGGTTTCTGTTCATTCCATTGATCGGGAAATGGGGTTGCAGCATCTCCTCCACTTAACATTGCAAAAGTTGAACTGAAATATGAATATTGTAAATGAGCTTTTGTGATGAAAGCACAAACCTAAACAATTCCGATGTTCCAGACACCGAACTATTGGTTGGAAACTGCCAGTGGAATGGATCCATTGCTGATGTTAATGACTGAAACAGAGAATAAGCTTTTAAGGAGAAAAAATTGATATTGAAAGTTTATTTTGGAGATTGAAAAAAAAAGAATTTTCAAGAGTTTCAATTTGATTTTCCGAATAAAAAAACTTCTTCGGATAATTTTAATTTGTAATCAATTGCCTTACAACCATCAGGTTCGTAAATTCGAATCAGTGGAACTCGGAAGCCATGTCGTTTCGCTCCATCGCTTCGTTTACTTTTTATTTTCGTTTTTTTGATCTTTTCGGATAACAAGTTATGAAAACTTTTAATTAATTGGGTTTATGGCTAAGCTCACTCTTCCCTTGAAAGCTGATAAGCAATTTCTAATGACAATCTCGTTGAACATTTTGACGCCTTAATCATCAGTTGGAACCAGAAGACCCTAACTAGCCGTACTCGCTTTATTCAGTCTCTGGTCATCATTTATTCTGTTAAGAAGAACAGATCTTATCAGTGACATTTCAAGGGCAATCCAATCGATCTGCCATTTTCAGCAATCGTTTATCAATCCCACCACCTCTCCCCCAATTATTCTCGATTTGTTAACAGACAAACGAAAAAAGTTTCTCTCTTTATATGTTATACTATGCCTCATTAATCATATCATATAAATTAAACGATGATAACTTATATAAATAGTAATGAGACATATAACTACTGTTCGAGCATTTGATTTTCAGGTTGGTACAGACAGTCTGCAATTGCTCGTCTTCATAAATCATTTGCGGAGAAAAACTGATTTGAACACAATTTCAGCAGAGATTTTCATAGGTAAAAGGTATCTGTTTACCAAAATTGAGGTCGATAGAGCGAGAGAGGGGTAAGAGGTGTGGAGATGGGAGTGGAACTAGGAACACATAGAGGATGTAATAGACTGTATAAGGAAAATTACTGTCGTATTGGCAACATATCCAACAGACGTTGTCATAAAAGTTTCATCAAAGGTCGGCAACAGTTGTACTTCCAATTTCTTAATTGTAAACTTTATAATTAAGAATATTCTCTTTATACGGTATTTATACAACTGTTCCTTATTAAGATTTTCAGTTTGATGAACAATTCTCAATAGCTGGTCAGCAAACCATTTAAACTGCCGTTTATGATATATCGATGAATATATGAAATAATATAAGAAGAAAGTTTTGAGGATTGAGTGGATATGATGGAAGTGAACAGTCTGAAGGGGCTGTGTGGCTGTTTATTCGATATTATTTGCAAATCGATGGGCAAACAGCAAAAAGTACAGCTCACTCAGTGGGGTAGGACGATATACACAAAGAAATTGAAGAAGTAGCCCAGATAAAGGAGAAACAACAGACATCTTTAAGAAATAAAAAAGGAACAACCAGTCAATGCGTCAAATATGATATGAAATGATTTTGTTTCACGTTTTCACGTAAGTCAAACGCTTCATCTCATTTGCATATGAAGATGTCAACGATACTTTTTTGGAAGGAGATCTCCATTTTCGATAATCTAATCAATCGATAGAATTTTTATTATCAAAAAAATAATAGAGAATATGGTGAAGAATATGAGAATATGGAAAAACTAAAAGTGAATGTTTCTATAGTTTTCGATCCATATGCATAAGTTGTTCCATGCCTGTACTTGAGGTCGACCAACCCCTGTTTTGCATAATTCAATCACGTAATCGCCTCTTGGACCTACGATTTTCTCATTCGTTATGCTTCTTTCCATAATCGACAAGAGTTTCGTCAAGTTTTTTTTTGTCAAAGTTTAAAACCATCATTTACTTGGCTGTTTTTGGGTCGAAAAGGAAAAGCAAGTATGAATATTGAAGAAAAAGAAAAAATGATTTCCATAAAAATGCTTCGAACATCAGACCACCAAGTAAGTTCGGTCGGTGAGATGAAAGGTGATGAGGATGAGAATGAATGAAAAGGTATAAATATTAAAATGAAAAATAAATGGAAAATGCCATTGAAAATCGTAAAGGCCCCTTCAATATAACGGACCCAAATACGAAAATCTCCCCCATAAAACACTGTTTGCTGGGTAAAACTCGTTTCCGTGACACTGCGAGTGATGCGTTTCGGCTGAATTTGTCCAGTCGTCGACGCGAAGGCGACGACGACCGTCCAAGTCTTGGTGGCGCTGATTGCGGCGATGACGAATAACGTCGTCGCACGGACGCCGATGGGAACATCGTGGTAGATGCAGGACGTTAACAACGACAACGATACGATTGTTTCACGTGATTTGATAAGTAAAACAGACTTATTTGGAATGAAAATGAGTTGAAAACAAATGAAAATTGGTTGAATGGCGCGCAAGACGCACGCACATACACACATACACACGAGGATTTGTAAGGTTTTGAGAATGAAATAGAAAATGGAATAAAAAAAAGTAAAACTTACTACGCCATTGATGTTATTATTCATCTCACTGTCACCACCCAGTAGCTGTCTGAGCATACAGCTGAAATACAATAGATTCAGAAGAAGTAAAAAAGACGGCGAGAAACGAAATTATTGAAACCAGATGGAGTCGAACATAACGACGAAATAGAAGAAAAACGGTAATTCAATGCAATAAAGTAGTCAATGAAATGAGCCAAATCACAAAATAATGTATTCAGTTGTTCAGGTTAACTCAAATAAACTAGAAAAGTTGATAAACGAAGATGAATGAAGATGGATGAGACATTATGCTTCTCAACGCATTCTCAGAATCAGAAGTGCCGTGAGATGGAATACAAAAATTAAAATAGACATCCGATTATTGGAGCAAAAGTTTGGGTAAGCAGATCCAAACAGCCACAGAGGAGGCTGTGATCAAGAAGAGATAAATGTGTAAAATGTGTGTAAATGTGCTATTCTGATGGCCATTTGCTCGGCCGGCGAACATATGTCGTTGGACTGCGATTCTAAGGTTATAGAAGATAGAGATAGAGTATGAGAGGATATCTAGAGAAAGCAGAGACAAAGATATTTTGATGAGAAAAGACAAAAATGTTAAGGAGAAGCGAGAGAAAGATAAGGAATGGCAGGCAAAAATGAATGAAAAAAGAAGGTTTGAAAAAGAATTTTTAAAAAAGGAGTTGAATAGAAAGGTATGATCAATCGATATGGTATAAGTGGGTGAGATGGGTGAGGGAGGAGGATAGGTGCTCTCTACTATTAAGAACTCTTAGAGATTAAAGCTTTTCAAAAGAGAAACGTGTCGGTAATACAAAAGGTTGGCATAGGTAATGGCTCTTAAGAGAGCATTAGGTTAATCCTTTCATGTAAATCTGCGAAATAATGAAAATTGGTTCGATTAACAGGAACTATATATAAATGGAAGTATAGCTACAGATGGCTCACTCTGATTATCAAGATCAAACGAATGATAGTCATTGCAGGCGGAAAGAACGAAAGATCATATAGAATACAGATGAATATATATATATAAATGTATATATGTGTATGTTTATATATAAATATACATATTGTTTGTAAAAGTTAATTGTCAATAAGTTTATTAAAACCATGCTCGTTCAACAAACTTCTTTTTGTGTGTGTCTGTGCTTGTGTATGAAAAGGGTAAATGAGAAGGTTTGGCTCTGTGATCGAGTTAATCTTCGCGTCGACTTCGCCGGCAACCGAAGACAAACAAATGAAACGACGGTCGGGGGCCAAGACTCTCAAGAAAAGAAGCAGAAGGAAGCAGGTAGAAAGGAGACGTAACTGTTAACGAAATATCCAATAAGTTGGCAGACAGTAAAAATTCATGAAGTCACACACACACACAAATAATCAACAAAATGTAGAGCGTGGCAGATGAAAATGAAAGAAACGAAAAAAGAAAAAAAGAAAAAAGCAGATATCCGAGAAGTTCGGAGACGTATGAGAATCAGTACGAATGATGAATGAAGGAAGGATGCAGAAGAAAGCGAAAAAAAAAGTTTCGACAAAATCAGAAGAATTCGTGTGTGGAAAAGCTAGAAGCAGAAAATGAAATACAAAAATTCCGTGAAGTACGAGCAGAGGGTAAAGGTTCTAGAAGTAACAGAAGTCAGTACTCAACCAAAGATACACACGTGAAGAGAAAGAGGGTGAGGAAGAAAGAGAGAAGAGATGGTATGAACGTAAGAGGGTGAGCCTCTTATTCTTCTATTCTCTTTATTATATTTTACCTTATTGCAGTTCTTTCCGTCAGAAGTACACAACAGTCCTCAGCCCATATAGGGCACTGTTTGCCATAAATATTTGAGGCTCTCTCTCTCTCACGCTCATTTACTGATGTTCTTTCGTTTGGATGTCTGAGCTCTCTAGAAACATTCTGATGTTTCATTTATTCTCAAATTTACTTTAACTTTCTATACCAGATCTATATGTTCGTTATACGGCAAAGTATCATTTCATAGAAAATATAAATGAAGCTCAAACGAAAATAGTTTGACAGGACCGAAAAAAAAATAGAGGAGGCGTTCGTTTGAGTCAATCTCGCTTTGTTTCATCTATCGAATCAACTCAACTAGTTGTCGAACCTGGTTCGAATTTCATTAAGCACGATATCTCGTCAAACAAGCGATTCTTTTTTTTTCATTGCAAATTCATATGGAATACGATGACAACCTATAACTAGCTCAATCACAGTAAGCTGTAAGTAAGCTATGATTCTCTTCAACAAATCATATTCGGTATTAATTGATACTACAACAAGGTTAGGCATTAAATATCAACCTCTCGTACTCTTTCGCACACAACTTCAGAATCAACGGGTAATGCCAAATCCAATCAATATATCGATTGATGTTGTTCAAAAGAGAAAGTATAAAGAAAAAAAGAAAGAAATATTGATTGAGAGCCCATCATTATAATGACTTTTGCTCTACAGTCGACAGCTTTCTGCTGTTCAACCAGAAGCAAGTTTCCGGTTATTCGAAACGGAGAGCATACAGAATGAAGGAATACAGTGAGGCAAAAATGATTTTTCTTCTAAATATATAAATATATATAAATAATATATATATATATATATATATATTATACCATATAAGTTATTATAACTGTATTATAGATTGTAAAAAAAAAGGTTGGAATATAAGGACGGAGGACGTACGGGACAACATTGAACGACAACGGAACGATGGATGGAAGAGATTATATCGGACAACGTATACACGTTACCATCAACGTCCTCCCACTTATTCCTTTACTCTCTCTCTTACTTTCTTTCTTTTTCTCTCTCTCTTTTACTTTTTCTTTTTTTCTCATCTTATATATGCAACCATACGTATAATACTCTTGTCTCAATTATTATAAATCAACTGTACAGTTTGTATAGTTAGTCGAGATCTAACTATACTTTCAATCAAAAGATGAAAAAACTAACAAATTATTCTTTTTTTCTTCTTTTCCACTCTTTTTTAATTAAACACCTCCGCTTATCCAAATTCTTAAGTCTTTTGTAAACTTTCTAAACTTTACACAAAACGTGAATTGTCACGTAACTCATACGACAACGCGCTATATCACTAATTGGACGTCACGTGGCCTTTTCACGTGATACACGTGAGATGAGAGAGTTACTTTGCACAACTTTAATCAGTTTATAAAGGACACTCTTACGAGAACGGTTGTTTTTTCAATCTCTTTCTCTCTATCACTCTCTTAATACTTCTTCTCTCTTTCTCCCTAATACTCTCTTCGCCATACATACCATCTCTCTCAATCTCTTCATGTCATCTCTTTCTCTAATTCTCATGCACTTCTGTAAACTTCCGGTCCCGGAATGGTATGTTCGTTTGCATGTATTGAATCACTTGAACTAGTGACCACAATTCCGCTAAACGTGACAGTTGTGAAAGTAAATGAAATTAGTTGACAATCATTCAGCCATGTGTATCTCTTTCTTCTTTTATAAACAATATTATTTCTTTGATTCAAAAAGGGCAAATGTTAGAAAATACTTCTTTCGAACAGGCAGTAAAGAATGTGAAAGACAAAATTTTTGTTTGTATTATATTATTGTTTTTTTCTAACGAAGGAAACATCATTCACATGAATAGTTACTAGATGGGGATATAGTTTCTTTGAAACTCACAAAATTGAGATTTCTCATCTTAATAGTATAGATTATCTTAACAATTGATTTATTTGATAAGGATATCCATCTATCAGGCTCCAATGACTTAATGAAGACTACGATGGTTCAAGGATGGCTGACTGGCTGGTTAATTCGCTAGCCTGGCCTGGACTAAGCATGATCCAACAATCATCAAATGACCCGTTTGGCCAAGTTTTGCGTTCAGAAATCTTCGCACAATGAATGAACTTGTGCGCGAGAATCACTTGCAAAGAAGTGTAAAAGAGAGAGGGAGGGAGAGAGAAAGAGAGAGAGAGAGAGAGACTGGAAGCAAAAAATGAAGAATGGAGTTGCAAAAGAATAGATTACGAATATTATCACATATAATAAACGAAGTTTGAGGATAAAAATTATAAATAACAAAAAGTGGATTAACAAGAGCTTTCTTTAATACAACTCCGTATGGTTTACAACCCTTACAGAAGATAAAGAAAGGCCGACAGTTAGAAGTAGGTCGCTTTAGGATAAGAGAGCTCAATGAACGAAAGGGAGGCACAGGGTTGTGAAGGGGGGATCGTATGGTAAGATGAGGGCAGAAAAATTAGAGGAAGAGAGGCAACACGGTTCCACTCTTGGAGCGTTTATTTGCGTTCTAACAATCAATATTCTAGCCTCCTGGATCATCAGCAGCTGTCGACATTAACATCGGATTGGAGGATGTAAGCCCGTGTGTGTATGTGTGTGTGTATGCGTGTGTGTGTATGTGTATAAAAGTGTTTGTGAGCATGTCTGTGTATGTGTGTGAGCGTGTGAGTGATTAAATGAATAAATGAGGAAATGATAGTATGCGAGTGTGTCTGCGAGTGTATGTGAGTGTGTATGTGTGGGTCGGGGGGAGTTTGTACAAAAAGATTTTTAAAGTTTAAATCTTTTAACAGACAGGCAATGTTACAATAAGAAACTAATGAAGCCTTAAACTCTTTCTTTCTATTTAAACGAAAAAAAATGGATCTCGTCAGATGGCAACACAACTCACAAAACTTCCTTACGAAATATAGAATATAACAAAATTTCATTGAAACATTCGGATATCGGCCCCCCTCCGGCCGATTCCCCCCCACTCCCCGTGTTTTTCCCCAACCCCCCCCCCCCCCTTTCTAACCTTCATTCAACCATGTGGTCCTCTTAAACTGCTCACAACCCCCTCCCTTTACCCAAACCCAATGAATCTCCATCCCTTTTTCTTTTCTACTAACATACATACATACAACCCAACCTACTATCGACCCTTCACGAGGTCACTCACACTAACATCACCGACCCAAATATATTACTATGACTATAACCTATTCTTTAGAATTTATGTGATACGTCATTTGAGAATAAGTATTTTGAAATTTCA